GAATCATTTCTTTGTTCTTTTTTGTAGGCCAAAAGGAAGGATTTCACTTAATTCTGCTTGATAAGACTATGCTGTCCCCATTTCTCAAGGATGGTTTTCTGCTCTGTGGTTAGAGTTTATTACACAAAGGGGTTGAATAGACATTTCTCCAAAGAAGCTACACAAATGGCCAATAAGCACATGAGAAGGTGCTCCACATCACTACTCACTAGGGAAATGCAAATTAAAACCACGAGATACCACTTCACACACATTAGGATGGCAAATGCAACAAATTAACAAGGGTTGGCAAAGATGTGAAGAGATCAGAACCCATGGTGATTGTTGATGGAAATGTAAAATGGTATGGCTGCTGAATAGAACTGGAAGTCCCTCCAAAAAATGGGACATAGAATTACCATATGACCCAGCAATTTCACTACTGGATATGTACCCTAAAGAACTGAAAGCAGAGTCTCACGCATATAGTTGTGCAACCGTGTTCTATAGTTATGCTTATTATTCTCAATAAGCATAGCCCTAGTTGCTGCAGCTTCTCCCTCAGCAGTTACTGCTCCACCGGGCACTGTGATGTTATGGAGACGACTTCTGTCCTTAAACCTCATGAACCGACCTCTGCCAGCTCCAGACTTTCTGCAGCTTCCTCACCCCATTTACCCTTCACAGAACTGAAGAGTTAGGCCCTTGCTGTGGGCTGGGCTTTGGCTTACTTGCGGTTAGTCTGATCTTCTATCCAAATCACTAAAACTTCCTGCATATCAGCAATAAGGCTGTTTTACTTTCTTATCATTCATGTGTTCACTGGAATAACAGTTTTAATTGCCTTCAAGGACTTCTCCTTTGCATTCCCAGCTTGGCTGACAGGCACAAGGTGCCCAGCTTTCGACTTATCTCAGCTTCCACATGCCTTGCTCGCTAAGCTCCGTATTTCTAGCATTTGATTTAAAGTGTGAGACATGCTACTCTTCCTCTCACTCGAACACTTAGAGGCCATCGAAGGGTTATCAATTGTCCCAATGTCAATGTTGTTATGTGTGAGGGGAAGCCAGAGGGGTGGGGAGAGAAAGAGAGAGAGAGACATAGAGACACACACAGAGAGACAGAGAGAGAGATGGGAACAGCCAGTCGGTGGAACAGAGAGCAATATTTATGAATTAGTTTTGCCATCTTGTGTGGGTGTGTTTCATGGCACCCCTCCAAACATTACAGTAGTAACATCAAAGATCACAAAACACCATACAAATACAATCATGGGAAAGTTAGAAATATTGCAGGAAATACCCAAATGTCACACAAAGTGAGCCAATGCTGATGGAGAATGGCGCTGACGTACTCGCTGGACACAAGGTTGCCACAAGCCTATACAACCTGTAAAGAATGTGCCCCCTGTGAAGTGCAGCGAAGCAAAGTGCAGTGAAATGAGCCGTGGCTGCACCAATATGGAGCGCCACTCGGCGTAAGTTACATGTGTTCCAAAATTTTGTCGAGAGATTTATCTTCCTCTTAGAAATGCTGCATGATGTTTCCTCTAATCTTTAGCCAACTACTATGGGCTTTGAAAGTATTTCATGATTTTTATTTTTGAAGTTTGGCCACCCATCTCTATTTTTTGTAAACAACACTCTGCTTGAAAGTTACGGGAAAGAAAGAGAGGGGGATTAAATGACCCTTTAGGGTCTTACAGTGAATACGCATAAGAAACTGGCATGGTATCTAGGCCTTTTGACTCACATTAACATCTTCATTCACAATGTTTCCCAACGTGATCAAGGGCAAACACTGGTTTTCTCTCTAACCCTGTAGCTACTTCCAGGGCGGGCCAGGGTTTAAGGAGAAATACACTGGTGAAGGGGAAGATGGTCATCTGTTTTGCCAGAGGCTGTGCTGTCTACTTATTTACACTGCCCAACATTTTAAATGTCATTTTCCCACTTAATCCGTCTTTATAATATCCCAATGAGTTAAGACAGATGCCATTCCATCTTTTGTGAGAGGATAACTAAGCTAGCCCATGGAACATTCCATTATTGCCTGTCCAAAGGTGCTGGCTTTATTAAGGAATATAAATAAGGCTTCCCTACCTAATTTGCTTTTTAACCCTTAGACCTGGAAGGACTCCACGCTGACTTCTGGGAAGGAACACATGGGCTCTGATATGATGCCTGACTTCTGGCGTCCTCTCCCGTGGCGCCTGCTGGTCCTAGTCACTCCCTGGTGCTCCCCGGTCCTACCTGACTCCTGGGCTCCTCAGACCTTGCCCAGCACAGGGGCCCTGTGCTCTTTGTGAAGAGAATCTCTGAAGTGTCACTGCTGACCTAGCAGCACAATGGCCTACAGTTGAAGGAAGTGTGCCGACCACGACTGTACATTTCTCCAGCTCTGCGTTATTTTGGGGAACAATAAATATACTTGTGTGTTGGAAAGATTAGAGTCTTAAGAGTTGCAGACCAGGGCTCTGAATAAAAGAAAGACCAGTTTGCGCTTTACTTGTTGAAGTTATACTCACTCAGCCCTCATCAGGGGCCTGGCCAAAATACCACCAGCTTTCCTCACAGAGCACCACAACTCAACACTTTTAAGCAATAGAACACGTGTCTTAAGTTCAGGATTTAAACCTGTTTTCTTCTCCTCTGTAACATGGGACGAGTAAATGACAGAGTTTTGGAAGCAACGTGGCACGGTGGTTAAATGCACAGCTCTAACGCCAGACCGTGACACGTGTTAGCTCTGAAATGTTGAGCAACTTATTTGTTTTCCCTTCTTTGCCTCAGGTTCCTCACGAGTAGACAGAGATAACGTTATCAGGGTTGCTGTGAAGTAGATAAAGCTTGCCCAGTGCTTACAACAGTACCTGGCACACGGGGTGTGCAGTTCGATACTGTTACCGTCCGCCACGGGCTTCAGGTGGAAAAGGTACAGAAAGCCCTCGACACACAGTCCTTGGCAGGTACATGAACCAATAGATATGATTGTCGGTAATAACAAGCTACCCATGCTTTCCTTGAAATAATTTGGATTAGTGGGGTGCACTTTCAGGAGGGCTAGTGAAATGAATGTTAACTATTTTAGGGGCAAAAGGAACCCTTGAAGTTCAGTGACACTGCTTTATTTACTTATTAATTTTTTTTTAATATTTTTTTCTTGAAAGACTGATTTATTTATTTTTTATTTTTTTATTTTTTTTTAAAGATTTTATTTGTTTATTTTTAGAAGGGAAGGGAGGGAGATAGACAGAGAGAGAGAGAGAAACATCAATGTGTGGTTGCTGGGGGTTATGGCCTGCAACCCAGGCATGTACCCTGGCTGGGAATCGAACCTGGGACACTTTGGTTCCCAGCCCGCGCTCAATCCACTGAGCTATGCCAGCCAGGGTACTTATTAATTTTTAAAAGGGGGGGTTGGAGGCAAGGAGAACAGGAAGGTCACAGTTTCTCTCGAAGTCACCTGGGCATGGCAAAGTCACGTCTTGGCATAAGGCGGTTGTTATCTTCTTGTCTTTGACTTACAAGGGGTAAGAAGTGTCACGTGAATATTAATATTCAAAAAAAGTTTTTAAAAATGACACATGTAACTACATTTCATGCAGCTATAGAAAATAACTCACTTATGTGCCGTTTTGTTAGAACTAAATGTTAGGGGCAGTTTTTTAGATCTCTTACTCCCTCTCCCACTTGAATCTCTGCCACTCCGGGGAAATTAATTATGAAGACATGACTACACGGGTGGACTATGTATGTCTGTGGACACCAGTATTTCCCTTTTTTGAATAATAACTTCTTAGACAATTCTTTGTTTTAAAATAGTTTTAAGACAAATAGTCTTAATAGTTTATTAATGTTGCATATTCCCCTGTTGACATGAGGCATGATTGCTTAGAAAAACACAATGCAGTTACAGTACTGAAAAATATTTTCATCCTTATTTTTCTTAACTATGATTACTGGGAAGCAGGGTATAACTCAATCTCAATTTATTGGGGAACAACAGCGCCTTTAACCTTAAAATTTGTCATGACTGCTGCAAGTAGAGAGCCCTGGGGTTTTGCTTGCAAGTATCTCCCAATTCCTTCTCTGTTTCTCACTGCTCCCCTCATCCGTTTATCAATATCCCTCCTTCCCTTTTTTCTCTTTTCAGTTCTGGACTTGGTCTTTCTACTCTATCACCCGCTTTTCAAATAATCATTCATCTCTTTAGGATTCCTTATTTCCTTTAAAATTCCTTTATCCATTCAAGATACATCTGCTGCTTCACTGGTGTTAGTAGTAACTGTGTTTCTCTAGCATACTGCCATCCTCTCTGCAAGCATTGTCTGTATATTAACGCTGGGACCATGATAGAAAATACGTACTCCAAAAATTATTTGGACTGCTTTCACTTGCGTGGGCAATAGCATTTGCATTGAATCGCTGGCAGTGGAATGTAGGGACTTGGAGCCAAAGTGTTGATGGCAGCTGGTACCCGCCTGGCACCAGGCCGACTTCTTCGGGCCTTGGCACAACTAGGAATTGCAGGCTTCATTTACTCCTCCACGTTTGTCTGGTTCCTTCCCTGAGGCTGCCGGATGGGAACGGCAAGGCTGTTAGAGGAAACTGTTGAAAGTGAGGATCAGGAATAGTTGCCCATTTAATCTAAGCAGCCGGTGAAAACAAGGCAGAAATTGGGGGGCCTGTAAGTGTGCAAGACGGTTACTTTTCAGACATGAGCGGAGAGCGCAGATTAAGGAATCACCTGAGCTCGAGAATTATAAATGCTTCTGACACCTGCAGCAAAATTTTCCATCCACAGACAGTGTCCTGGCGGGACCCGGAGGCCCAGGACAGAGCGGCTTCCGCCGCCAGTGGTCGCACCCCATCCCGGGCTGGCAGCGCAGGGTCAGACCCCTCCCCCGGGCTGCGGAGGGCGGGCACCTCCCCGCTGTCACTCAGCCGGCCGCGCGGCTCTCCGCCGCCGCCGCCTCACTCGCACTTCAGGGCCGCCCCGCCCCCGCCCCGCCTCCGGCTTCGCCTGCTGAAGTCACAACACTGCCCGGCTACCTGGACGCGCCCGGCGGGCAGCTGCGGGCCCCGCGCCGGCTGGCGGCGCTGAGGGGTCGCCGAGAGGAGCTCGGCGGCGTCTGTCGGAGCCGTTCCCTCCGTGGGCCGCCGGCGAGGGCATGATCGCGGACTCCCTCTGCCTCCCGAGCGGCGGCGGGAGCGGCGAGGGCGGGAGGCGCCGCGCGGAGGCCACGGTCCAGGGCTGCGCCGGGGGACAGCGGGGCAGGAGATGTGCCTGTCCTTAGCGGCCCAGGAAGCAGCATGCACCCCGATGCCACCGACAGCAGCGGGGCCGGCCTCAGCCCAGCGCCGGCCGTGGGCGCTCCAGGCGAGCGGCGGCCGGAGCCCCGGGAGGACGCGGTGGCTCCGAGGGGCCCTGGCGGCGGGAGCTGGCGGGTGCCAGTGGCCGTGGCCGCCCTCGCCGCCGCGTTCCTCTTCTACCTGGGGCCCGGCTGCTGGCAGGGGGCAGGAGGGACGGGGCCGTGCGCCGCCCTGCTCAGCCTCGTCCTGTACCTGGGCTGCGCCTCGGCCGCCTTCCTGTTCGGGACCCTGTTCTCCCTGGTCTGCCGGAGCCGGCGAGCCCCGCCGCCCGACTTCGCCGCCGCCTGGAGACGGCTGGCCGAGGCCGCCTGCCGCCGGCCGGGGGTAAGTACCGGCCTCCCCCCTCCTCGCGCGCCCCAGCCTCGGCCTGGCTCCGCCGGCCCCTGGTTCCCGCCGCCCGCCCTCGAGACCCGGTGGTCGCGGCGGGGCCAGCCGAGAGGCACGGCGTGAGGCGGTGGAGTCGCTCCACAGCCATCTTCAGCCCCCGCCGTGCCGGCCGAGCCACCATCCCAGCGCCCCGATACGGCTTTGCGGCGGGCGAGTGCCAGGCAGCCGTGCACAGCGCTCCCTGGGCGCAGGCGCTGCACCCGGGGTCGGTCGTTACAGTGGATCGGCCAACCGTCCTCCGGGGAAGGTAACTTCAGGACATTTTACGGAGGAGGGAACTTGGCTTGGAGAGACCAACGTGGCCCAGGCCACTCTCGCAGCCCCTCACGCCCAAGCTCGCGTGCGCCGGTAGATACCACGCCATCCTGGCCCCACCATGTTGAGAAGTCAGGCAGTCCCGGCTAGTTTGTGCGATTTACCAGGGGTGGGGGGGGGGGGGCGGGGTGCCCGAAATCACTGTAGTGTGCCACGGAAGGAAGGCTGTCGCCCGTGAGGCAGGGGACAGTAGGGCGGTGCTTAGGGAATGTAGGAAAGAAGCAGTCTTTTCAATGAGCTCTTTCCTTCCCTGGTGCCAGCCAGACCCCTACTTTCTCTGCCTCCCCGCTTCCGGCCCAGACCCTTCAGCGAAACCGTCTGTCTCTTAGCCTGACGCTCGCTGCCCGACTGTCATTAAACCGAGCTTGCCCAGGCACTTTGTGGTAGTGGCTCAACTTCCTAAGGATATTTGTCAGAGGGACCATGACTCCCGGGGTGCTGTACGTGTTTGTGATAAGACCCACTTGCGTCTTTGTAAAAACCATGACTGCTCTTCACCAAAAATACCCCTTGCTGAGCCTGCACGCAGCTCAGAGATGATGGCTGGAGAGTGCTCGCTCTGTAGGCTGGTCGACGGTTCAGTGTACGAAGAAAGAGGACCTTCTGTTTTCAGAAGTAGTCTCGACAATTAGTAATACTGATTTTTCTTAAAAACCTTCACTTAGCTGCTTATTTTCTCATGTCTAATGTAGCAAGAGTTGGTGAGCATGTGTATTTTTCCTCTTGCTTTTCTCTACAATGATTTTTTTTTAAAGAAAAAGGACCCTAAGATTTTACTAGTTGGTTTGTTGATCACTGATCTATTATAAATAACCTTGCCATTCTTCAGAGTGTTGTAAGAAGTTGTAATTCGGTGTGTATATTTATTGAGCATTTTGTACAAGCCAGAGATTAGTTTGGAAGCTGGGATTGAATCCGCAAGACACATGAATGCACATCTCTCCAGAGATTGTATTCTTTTTTTTAAAGATATCTTCTTTTTTTTTTAAGATTTTATTTATTTATTTTTAGAGAGGGAAGGGAGGGAGATAGAGAGAGAGAGAAACATCAATGTGCGGTTGCTGGCCTGCAACCCAGGCATGTACTCTGACTGGGAATCGAACCTGCGACATTTTGGTTCGCACCCAGAGCTCAATCCACTGAGTACGCCAGCCAGGGGAGATTATATTCTTATGGGGGACCAGACAGTGAGCAAATGGGATACTTTTGGATAGTGATAAAGGCTATGAAACAAAAAGTGGTTAAGATGAGCGGTGAAGAATGGCTTCTGTGGTGAGTGGCGCTCATAGGGGGGCTTGGCTGCCCTGTATGGGGGAGAGACAATTTTTTGATATCTGAGTGGCTCATTCATTGTTGGTTCGGACACCCGTTTTAAAAAAAAAGTGCTTAGTAAATGGGGACAGAAAGTGTAGAAGGCGAGGTCAGCGTCAAAGCCATGGTATTGCAGTCCACCTCTGAGGGTCTCACGTTGTGGTTTACCACCCTGATACCTGGAAAACACATTCTCCCAAACCTCCCAGCTCACTTGCACTTCTGGGTGGGTTAAACTTGGACAGTCCAGAAAGCTGGTTTGGTAGAGGAATTAGAGGAAATAGTACTTCCAAGGTGACAGTAAACTAGCAGTGTATGTAATCTCTCATGTGCATTACCTGAAGATCTCAGGTACTAGAAAAGACGAAGTATAATCTAAGGAAAGTAAATTGTTGGTCAGTCTTTTAGACCCTGGATTCTTATAGTAGCCTTAAATAAGGAAATAAATACACTAGGAAATTGACTAAGTTATATGTTACTTAAAATTGAAATGCATATTAATCATCCACACTTCTTTTTTAAAATAGTACTGATGCCTTTAGTTGTGCTGTGTTTCTAAGAATACGTGTTGAACGGCTTTAAAAAAGGGTTCTGTTTATGAATGGAGGCAGAAGCACATGGTGTAGTATAAAATATCCGCAGTTCTGTGGGGGTAGAAGCTGGACCACTTAGGTCATCTAACATATGTGGAGGGGGAGGCCGCTTAGCACTAAACCAAATGGTGCCTCTTAAGATACAATGACTACTTTACTACAAGAAATTTTGGCTCAGCATGAAAAAAGAATCCTCATTTTATTCTTTTTTAAAAAAATTGATTTGAGGAGGAGAGAGAAACATTTGTTTGTTCCACTTATCTATGTATTTATCGGTTGATTCTTGTATGTGCCCTGACCTGGGATCGAACCCGTAACCTTGGCTTATCAAGGTGATGCTCTGATCAACTGAGCTACAGAAGGTCCCCATTCATTTGTGTACATTTGGATTATTCTAGTGTCAGCTAGACAAGACAGACACTGCGACTAATCCTTCAGTCTGCCAGTCACTCCTTCCCTTCTTCCTTCCTTGTTTCTTTCTTCTTGACTTCCTTCTGTAAAGGAAAAAAATGCATACATTGTTAAAAGTTGGTAGCTAGAGAAGCCTCAGCTAAAAGGGAAAAGGTGTTTTCATGTCTAGGAGAGTTCACATGCTTCTGCATGCTGTAGTTATTGGCTGTAACTACATGCAGTTAGGCCACATGATTGATACCTTTTGTTATCCCTTGCAGGTACCATATTACTTCAGGCAGAAATAAAGTATGGTATTTTCAGCTACTAAGAAAACTTCTGTAAGGTCAGAAAGGTTGATACTCAAGTCTTGGCAGTTGATAACTGGGCCTCACTTTAGAGAAGCTTGCATGGCTCGCAGGCCTGCAGATGGAGGCTGTGACGCTTTCTCCTCGCGTTAAAATGGTTAGCCCGCCTTCGCTGAGTGGGCTGTCATAGGCTAAAGTTGTAGTTCGGTCTTGTGCCAGGCCAGCTACCGGTAACTCACCTGGACCAAGAGCCTGAGGTTCATTCATTAGCCACAGTTACTTGACTCTAGGCAACAGCAAGAGAAATATGGTGAAAGCGAATCAGCAGTTTAGAAAACTTATTCTCATGACTGGGCCAGCATGACAAAGTGCATCCTCCTGTAATGGGAAAAAGACATGTACTAACAGCGTATGGGAAACGGAAGTCTAGGGCCATGGAAAGAAAACAGTAATGAAAGACTTCAGAGTTTAGGCAGGGAAGTTCAAGAAGTTCATCAAATCTCATTAATAAGAATTTGCTTATTATCTGCTATATATTTGCTATTCTGATCTTGCCAAGGTCCTTTTTTATTTTTTCCTAGTGAATTGCTGAGTGCTATGCTAGGGACATAGTAGGCTATTAGTAGACAGACTTTGCCTGAATGAGGGGATTATTGCTTGAGATGAGAACAAATTTAAGTCTCTCGTTGACGTTTTTGATTTGAGATGTCCAGCCCAGCTTCCTAGAGAACCTTCAGAGACGTGCCACAGGAGTCACTGCGAGCCTGCAGAACCACTTTCTGGAAGGGCGTGGTGATGTTTTGGTGGTGGGAGTGGGAGGGTTCAGAGATGGGCCAGACGGCGCACCCTGGGCCGGACTCTGGGGCGAGGGGATTGGGCTGATGGAGCGGACTGGATGGGAGCCCGGATGTCTATGAGAGACAGTGAAAACATTCACACGGCAATCCAGGGCTCCCGTTGGCTTGGGTAGGCCTTCTAGAACTCCTAAATGAGTTCTTTTACTGATACAAAAGTTCTTTGACTAAAACAAAGTTAATTTAGTTACTTGAGGGGAAAAAGGAAAAGAAATGGGAATTAGGGAGACTACACTCGGCCTCTTTGTAGCTTCCCTTTATTATGCTAATGTGATAAACTTATCCTCAATCACGGGATAATGGATAGTGGCATAATACACTTACTGTCTTCAGAGTGTGTGTTTGCAATTTAACTAGGGGATTTCAGTCAAGGTGGCTAGGGAGAAAAATAGTTTTGGGGAAGATGGTGTTTTGAGAATCCCTTAAATGACAGGATCCTATCTACGGTAACTCTTCCTGTGGTATAAGGGCTGTTTTATTGCATTTTAAATTTATACTGTTTATAATATTTAAATGCAATTTTTAATGTAGGTTATATAATTTTTTTTTAAAAGTAGAAACATATGAAAGGGTATCTAGTGGAAAAAAGTCTCTCTTCCATATAGCCCCTATTAATAGGTGCTATTTAGTCTTTCAAATATATGTTATACTTATATAAGCAAATGCAAATGTGTATTCAAAAAAGTTTTTGATGCCTATAATCTCTTGACATATAAATGGTGATTACATGCAAAGGAGGATTTATTTATTTTCTGTATCTTTATTATGAAGGAACTATTTCCTAAGGTTGTAAACATAAGGTGAAGTTATATATGAATACCACATATAAGATATACACCTTTGAAGTCAGAAGGTACAATACATGATTAAATCGAGAACATAAAACAGTTCATCAAAACCGACATGTATCCTAAGAAAGGAAGAAAGTGTGTATTTGAATTTGGCAAAGCTGTCCGAAAGGAGCGGTATGTACTCTCACAATGTGCACAAAAATAAGGCAAACTGAGCCGAGCAACAAACCGGTATAGAGATGCGATACGTGTGCCATTTGGGATTGGGGTTGCCCGTTAGTACGTGGGACGACCCAGAGCAGCTCGGATTGGAAAGGCGGTTTCGGCCCCATCCCGGAAACCCGCAGCCGAGAAAGCAGATTTGGAGTTTCATCC